TTATTATATTATTTTATATTATATTATATTATATTATATTATATTATATTATATTATATTATATTATATTATATTATATCATATTCTCTCTCTGTATATATAGATATTTATCATATTTAATAATATTTAATTAATTATTCTTTATTTTCAGAATTGTTTGTACAATTAAAATAACCAAGTATTTAAGGTATCCCTGCATTAAAATGTAATCTCATCTGTTTTCTATTATGTTGGAGCAGTGCATAGACTGCACGAGTCCCTCCTGATTTGTAAGGAGTTGGGTAACCTTTTCCGGTATTCTTCCCTAAAGAAAAAGAATAAAAGACAAAGAACATCAACAGCATCTCACAAAGAGTCAGGACGCAAGATAAGATAGGGCTAGACCCAGAACTGTTGAGCTGTTTGATGGGTTTTTCTTTGGTCTGTGATGTGGTCAAATGCAGCATGCACATTTCTGTTTTTTGCATTTCCACTTTATTTCTGAGGCAAAAAGTAACGATTAATTAATCTCAAGATTTTTTTTGTTGTTGTTGCAAAGGATTCTATTGGAAACGTACATTTTCTATTCGAAATATCAGCAATAACAGCATCTTGTGAAATGAAACATTTATATGAACATATTTCCACATCAGAGAAGACATTCTCAAGTGAGTCCTTGAAGATTTCATAAAAATATTTTTTTTTCTGAATGCGTATCATGCAAACGTCAATGATGACCAACATGTGAAAATGGGTCTTTTTCATCTGAGTTACATCAGCTAAACCAAATGTTTCACTGAAACATATCCATGTTGGGTTTAGTCTGTAAAATTATTTGGTAAAGTAATGATAAAATCATTGCTTGTGCTAAGATACAATCTTTTCAATATGACATCACAGTGATAGACAGATATTTAATAATAAGGCACAAGCACGAAGCTAATCTGAGTGCTTCTGGCTTTAACTGGTTTACTTCACTATTGAAAAAACTTTATTTGCTTTTGTAATTAAATAAAAAAGAAAACTTCTTTGTCAATTTCTATAATGTCATTTCTATAATTAATTCATTTCTATAACATCAGTGATCAATTTCTTTAAAGAATATATTTACATGACTTGATAACTCATTTAGCTTTAACTCTAGTGTTAGTTCATTAACATGATCGTTAAGAAGGCATTCTAATTATACGGGAAGTTGTCATCAAGTGATGACAAGTTTGATCCAATTAATCCTTTTTCTATATTTAAATTATGCCTGGATTCAGTTTCTCTAAGTGTAATAAGATATAAGATAAGTATGAGAGTATGAGTTTTGGATCCAACCATGCATCCATTTTGTGGTCAAGCAGTAGATCCAGTAATGTAATCCATCCATTATCCACACTTGTGTCAAAAATGTCAAAAAAGAGGAAAAGGTAGGAAAAAAGAGGAGTGGACTTGTGTTGGGGGCTGGAACTTCCTGTGTGGGCCTTCCTGTGGTTAAAACACCTGCACACACCTGTGTGGAAGTTTGGCCGACAAAGGAAGAAACCAAGCAGGTTCAGCTGGTCCAATCACAGGATACTCAACTGGTAAGGAGGAAATTAAGTTAGTTATTAAGATATTGTTTGTTAAAAAGTAGAGGCTGAGTTTGAAGATATTGTAGTATGGTTTGTTGCCTGGTAATATTCAGTTTATGTTTTGCTTATGGTTGAGCCACAGTGAAAATGTTTGATTTAAAAATGTCCGTTTGAACTAGTTCAACTTCTTTTTGTCAATTTACTTTTGAAAGGTTTTCAACCTAATCCTAATTCCAGTCCTAAATCAGAAAAATCTGATCATCAAGTTCAACGAATAAAACAAAATGGAAAAGGATTTGAGTTGTGCCTAGCGTCCTTTTTGGTGATGACCAGCCGTTTGTCAAGTTTGGGCAGGAGCTGAAGCTAGAAACCAGACGTAACTTGACAATACTGCATTTTTCACATGTACATAAAGCATATGCAACTCCACATAGAAAAGATTACAGCCTCCCTGGGATTTGAACCAGGGACCTTCTTCCTGCTAAGCAACAATGCCAACCACCACACAGCTGTACTGAACACCAGCAATGTCCTAAATCTGTGCCATCTGAGGGGTTGAGCCTTGTTTGGGTTCTTTACCCAATAACAATGATTAGTTTAGTTCCATGTTTCACTCTATGGGTGATAAATACTGTCATAGTCTATATTATCTTCAGAAATGTTCTTTTCTGGTTTGTAAAAGGTCACAATAGTTGTCATCTCAATCAGAGTTCTTTATTTCTTTTTGTTTTACTCCATTTCCAACACTTTCAAAGAGACTATAGATCAGGCTTCATGCAGAATTGACCTTTGTTCATATATGGTGGGTGTCCATTCTTTTCTTTGGCTACAATTCATTTGTAAGGCAATCAACATATCTTATTAATCATAGTTTGTTCTTCCTGTTTTGTTGAAGCAGTGACCTTTGTCTGGAGTAATGGCTGAGGTTCATAAGAACCCGCAGAGATCATGCCCACAGGTTATGACAGGGTAGATAAATTTGTTTATCAGGAGTTCAGTTTGATGTAGCGGGGACAGTCTACCCGGACCCCCCCGGGGGAGGTTTTTCCATGCTCTCTATTGACCATAAATTCAGTGTCTGAAAGTTCACAGCCTGGCTACAGGAATAACAATAGCTTTCACACGGACTGATTCATCATTCAAATGTACTGTGCCACCTCAGAGGAACAAATAGGAGGAAGAAATTTTGTCTTTATTCGATAAATCGCGTTCCTTCAAATTCTAGTTAAGCTAACCGGAGGCTGTTTCGGCAATGTTGAGATTAAAAGAAAATTTCATCATCAAATGATAAAATGAGCCATGTGGGGTGAGTTAGTTCAGCACCCACCACAGTTCTGTGTTTACGTGGCCACAAGCCCCTTGTTGTTGAGGCGAATCTGACCAGACAGGAAACAGTGAGTGACCTTAACGCCGCGTGGTGGACGCTAACCAGCCACACTGTCCCCGTCTATCTGTCCCTCCAGCTGACTTTCATCTCTCCTCCTGCTGGCCAAAATCGAACCGCTGTCTCTTACATCCCCTCCCGCTGCTTCCCACTTTGTTTCCTGATCTGTTTTTTTCCTTTATTATTCTCTTTGTGTTCAATTGAAATGCATCTCCTTTGAGCTAATATCCTCCTTACGCCTGCAACTGTTTCATGCTTTATCCTTTGCAGTATATTCAGCTCAGTTTTATTTGAAATACGTTTTATATATATATATAGCCACATTTGAGCTAATTACAATCAAACTTGCTTTGGTACAATGCTAATTCAATACATTTCCAACCGTGTCCAACTTGTACTGAGCCAATAAAAGGGAAATAAGGAAGATAAGGGGAAACAAAATAGTGCACAAAGAACAGTGTTCTGTCCTAAACATGTATAATATGATGGTGGAAATCAAAAAAAGGAACTATCTTAGGGAGGGGATGTCTTCTGCCTTTGGCAGGAGGGTCAACGGTCAAGGACCAGGCCAGGGATACCCGCTGAGAACCGAATAAGGACCGAATAATGACAACTATAATTTGACCGGCACATTGACGATAATGGGAGCAGAGTGAGGAGAACTGTGTCGTGGAAGGTCCCGACCTGTAGCAGCACAGCTGCAGAATGGGATGTCCGGTGTCACCAGAACCATCCCAAGACTTTAACGGAAAGGACAGTTTGAGGGTAGACGTGGTGTTTTTGCCTTTAAGGGCGTTTACCGGAAGCTGGTTCCACAAGAGAGAGGCCCTGTTGCCCACATTGGTTGTAGTATCCCCTCTGGACCTGGTTGTTTACAGGACAAAGGCTGACCGCAGACCAGTCAAGACTGGCTTTCTTCAGACCTACATGATGTCATAAGAGAGGGAGTCCATAACAATCTGAATACGTGTCGTACAGCCAATCTAAAGAAACTTACTGCGTAGTTCTGACTGAAAACAAACTAATTATGTTATTATTTTAAAGTAAAGTCTGCAAGCTGTGCGTATGCAGTTAAATTGATACGTTTCTGTTATTTATTTATGTTTCTGATTCAGTAACAGATTGAGGAAAATCAACTTCATGCAGGGAAAACTGGAGTCTGTATCCATGAATCAGCAACTCAATCAATCTGCCCCACATGTATTTATACAATTTTATGAGCTCTCAGTTTTCCTCTTTAACCTTTTAAAGCCTGATCCAAGAAAAATAGGAAGAATATTGGATTTTTTTAGTCTGAAGTCTTTCTTTGGCCCCTCAACAACATATAAAGAAAATAAAACTGAAATTGTTTTGATCAAATTGGCGTGCAATAAGTCAAAAATATATTTTCGTGTAGTCTTCTATTCGCTGTGATCAGGTATATCTGCTGGTCAACATCTGCTGGAGGTCCCACGGTCCAGGTGCAAACAGTGGGATGACCGCTCTTTTGCAGTGGCAGGACCTAAACTTTGGAACTCTCTGCCCACTGAGTTACGTTCATTTACTGACCTGCCACTGTTCAAAGCTCAACTTCTTCTTCCTGCTCTCGGCGAGTGCAGACGTGTTTCTCTCTCCCTCCCACCCCCTGTCCTTGGTGCCTTGCTTGCAATCTCTGTCCTGTCTCATCTCAAAGTTTCGCTCTGCATTTTTACTTCCTAAAGCCTAACATCAACCATGGATTTGGTCGGCTGGTCTCTCAACGCAATTGACAAAATCTTTTCAACCCAAAGACAAGCTGCGGGGGCTGCAACTTGTCCAGCCGGGACCTACCCTGCGGGTTTCACGATGGATGCCTGGAGGAGCTGGAGGGTTTTATGCCTTTCAATTCTTTCCGTGGAGGACGTCGAGGACCTATACCTATTTGGATTCATGATAACCGGGTTCCTGCTGATTGGAGTTGGTGGATACCTGGTTTTTCGAGAAATTCGGAAGCTGAGGGCAACTGGTGGCGGGTTGCCTGTCGAGCCGGTTTTCCGGGCCATCAACGCTCAGACTCAAACCTTGTGCGAGTTGTCTCGCAAACATGATGCGCTGGTAAGCAAAATGGGGACGATGTGTGACAGCATGAGGGTGATGGGGAACAACTTGGAGAAGGTGGTGGTTCAGATGGATGGAAATTAACACAATTCGGCTGAATTGGATCGCCATTGAGACCTGCTGAGGACTTAAGGCAGACAAAACACGCTCTGTCTGGAACAAAGCTATCTCTCTTATCTCATTCTGGCCTCCCGAGAGCGGCCTTGCAGCTGCTACTCTACAACTTTGCCCTGGATGAAACTGCAGACCGACGCTTTGCCCCCCCCACCCCCTCCTTCTTCCCAAGCAGGAGTTTGGGCATCACAAGGACAAATTCCATCCTGCCTGTGGATGTGGACTCCAGCTTGCTTACACTTACACACACACAAGTACAGACTTCATGCATTCCTTGGACTCACTGCCTCGCTGTTACCTTTCCCCTTCTTTCCAACCCCCCAACCCCCCCTCCCTATGTGTCCTTGATGTTGTGATTGACTGTATCTGTGCTTCAGTGTAAGAGGTGTTTTTTTTTTAAATCACTGTTACGTCCCCTGGAGGGGGCGTGGCATTGGGCCTTTTTTTTCCCCTCTCCCCGCAACTGCTTTCCCAACGTATTCATTTTGGTTCTGAAGATGTCTTGGCGCCGAAAATGGCTGCCTCGGTGCTTTCACCAAAGCAAATTCCTTGTATGTGTAAACCTACTTGGCAATAAAACCCAATTCTGATTCTGATTCTGATTCTGATTAAAACGTATTTGTTCAGGATGGCTTTTTGCAAGTAAAATCTCTATATACTGGGTTCTGTCACCAATGTGTTTGTCTTTGTATATTTCGATAGTTTGATCTGTTTTTATTCTGTAAAGCATTTCGGTCAGCTCCGGTTGTTGTAAAGTGCTATATAAATAAACATTGATTGATTGATTGATTGAATGTGTACAACAGGGGTTTGTGCAAAGCTTTTACCACTGAATGATGCAAAAAGTCTCAGATCCAAAAGACTTGATACATTTGGCATTATAGGGTTAAAAAAAATACAATTTTCTCCTCCTGCAGGTCCGTTGAGGGTTATTGTCCCAACGGAATCGGTCTCGTCCTACCTGGGGGACACCGCCCTGCTGCGCTGCGAGGTCTCGGGTGAGCCCACGCCCGTCATCCGGTGGCAGAAGAACCGGGAGGACCTGCCCCTGCGCTTCGAGGCCGACTCTCGCCTCGCGGTGCTGCCGTCCGGCTCGCTGCAGGTCAGCCGCGTCCAGCCGCCCGACTCGGCCACCTACCGCTGCCTGGCCGACAACCCCGGCAGCACCAGGACGGGGACGGACGCCGAGCTTCGAGTCCTCCCAGGTACCTACCCAAACTCTGGTGTACTCCTTATATGTATTTAGAGATTTATTGACCAGCATACCACTACACATTTAACTTAAAATCAACAGATACCCAAATAACTTAAAAAAACCCAACACGATCTTAGAACAGGAGCTCTATGAACTTGTTACATAAGCATCTGAATATTCAAATTTTAGTTCTCTAAATTGTTGATCTAAATCAGTAGACATTTGATTTAGATTTCAAGTCCATCCATCCATCCATCCATCCATCCATTATCGTTACCACTTATTCCCTAATGGGGTCGCCCCTATCCCAGTGGTCAATGGGCGAGATGTGGGGTACACCCTGGACAGTCCGCCAGTCCATCGCAGGACCACACAGAGACACACAACCACACACACTCACATTCATCCCTAGGAGAAATTTAAGGAGTCCATTTAACCTAACATAAGTTTTTGGAGGTTGGAGTACCTGGAAGAGTCCAAGTAGAAACGGAGAAATCATACAAACTTCAGACAGAAAAGACTCGAACCACGAACCCATCTGACTATGAATCTAAATAAATCTAAACACACAAGGACAAACAACCATGCACACTCACATTCAATCCTAAGGGCAGTTTGGTATGTCCAGTAAACCTAACAGGTTTTTGGATGGTGGGGGGAAGCCGGAGAACACGGAGAGAACATGCAAACTCCACCCAGAAAGGTCTTGGTTCCCCCTAGGGTATCGAACCAGGAACCTTCTGGCTGTGAAGTGATGGTGCTAACCACCATGCTGACCAGATTTAATGTAACAACTCTGAAGCCTGCAGATCTCATTTGGCCAGCTGGTCATTTTTGCTCATTTTAGCCCATAGCTGAATGTGTCATTTTCAAACGAAATGAGATGTAACGCATGTATGAGGTATAAGAAGTTATTTTAATAATAACGTGTCCATGGGCTGAACATCAGGGCGTCCTCTCCTCGGTCCGCGGGGAGCCGCCCCCCCCCGACGCTCAGCGCCCTCCACATCATCCAATTATTCACGTCCACACAATGTCCACTTCATCCCTCAGATTACAGCTCAGGTTAACACGAGCTGCAGCCACTTAAACACTGCTTTGAGTCCAAATTATGAAGTGTTCCCGTGCTCGTTCCCAGCGGGGGCTCAAAGTGAAAGCCTTCCGCGGGATAATCAGAGGTGTTTTGCATTTCAAAGTACCTCGTCCAAACCCTCCCCTCTTGCACCACAATGCACACCCAAATAGACACAATAAAGCACACAAAGCGGAGTCCAAATGGGGATTCAAAGTCAGCAGTATATCTTCTCCATGTACATGACAATCTTATATTTTGTGGGGCAGACAGTCATCAGAAAAGGCTGTAAAAGAAACAGTTGAAGCCAATTGTGGCTATCTATAGCAATTTCCAGTAATGTTGGGTAACATTGTATTTGTTTCTTACATTTATTTCACGTCAAAAGAAGGAGACTTTTGTAAAAAATTGAGACTCGTAAAAAAATGTCGGTCTGTTCTCGACAAAAATCTGCTGCTAATATGGATGTCCTGTCCTTTGCTTTGAAAACATACCTGGTTGCTTTATCAGAATCAGAAATATTTTAATAATCCCTGAGGGAAATTAGTTTTGTTACTAACTCCATAAATAAAACAGCATATACATACATACATGTCTATACATATATACATATAGATATACAAAATTCCACACAGAATATAAATAAATATATACATAAGTAACTATATGCATATATATATATAGGTCTAAAATAAGTGATAGTGATATTGTCAATAATTTAGTTTGACTCTCTGAAGGAGGCATTGTACAGATTGATAGGGCCAGATTGAGATGGATATCAAGCAAGTGACAACAAACCAAAGTGAAGGCACACAACCTGTCCCAGTGTGGTGATGGTCACTCACACATAGCACGCAATAGCCCATGTTCCCTTTGCTCCACATCTGTTTCAGCAAATGTGTGAAAAAAGTTGAAAATGTGTCTGAAAAACAGAAGAAGAAAGAGAATTAAACTTGTCATAAAAGCCCTTGGCAGCTTGTTTGGAAAATCACAGGACTTTGTTCAAAATAACTGAAGTCCCCCCCTCATGAGGGTTATAAAGTGTGATGGTCAAGTAAATGCTGAACATTCCCAAAATCAGAATAATTGTAAATGTCTACCTAGTTAACTTTGGCAGTAACTGGAAGGGAACATTTTCAATATTTCCCATTTGAGCCAAGCCTGGAGGCAAACACTTCCTCGCATGCTTTTTAAGATATTTTCTCCTGCCTATGAGAGTTAAGCTTCTTTTTTCTTTTTAGGTTTCGGACAAATTTTTTCAAATATCTCCCCTGAAATCCCCCCGTCCACATCGGCTTTAGCCCTCAGTTTCAGCTCGGACACTTTGATCAGCGGGAGTTCGTGAATGGATCGAATGAATTTAAAGTGCGGTTTTGCCTGATAAAGGCATCGGTTAACAGCTGGCATATTTTACAACCAAGCGGATATTTTTCCGTTTTTTTTTGACGAGGATTTCAGTTTAACCCTTTTTTTTAATCCTCTTTTCTCTCTGATCGGCATGACGTTTTTAATGGATCGGATGATTAAGCTTTGATTTTTTTTGACCACATGAAGATTTTATCAGGCCGAGCCATCGGCCTAACTCGGAGGTCAGAGGTCAGAGATTATCAGACGGCAGCGTCTGATTTCCATGTGTCATCTTGAGATAATGCATTCCTGTCTTTGTGACCTTTAACTACTCGGCGGTCCGTTCCACGAAATCCGAGTCTGCCCCAATAAACCAATCAAAAATGAGTTGGAGAGCTCGGCTGCATTTTCAAAGGAATTTTAACCATCACCTGTCAGGTAGACGGAAATGCATTATGCAAATTTATACAGGCACTAGTGAGCCAGAAATGTTACAACCGCTCTTATATGTTGTTTGCTTTTCACATATCGCCAAACCAGAACTGACTCGTTGACTTATTTAAACCTAGCTGTTAAAGTGGAGCCCAAAAAGTGGTTTAAGGGCATTCCACATCACTTGTTCGTTCTTCCCGCATCATTTTATGGTAGTTTTATCCCTGGTCATCTGATATAGAGTTTGATCTCCTCAAGATAAGGAGGGACATACTGTACATTTCTCAAACTATATCCAAATATTCAAAGTTACCATTTAAAATTAAATGAAACATGCTTCTCATGCTGCTCTTTATTTCTGTCAAGTCCTATTGGGATGGATTTTATATGAATTAAAAATATCCAATAAATTTGGATTTTGATTAGGAATAAAAAACAAAACCGATAGATTCTATTGGACAAATTTGCAATTTTAGTGTATGATATGATATGATTCTCAAACTCTCTGATATCCAAATATTCAAAGTCAACATTTAAATTAAATTAAACATCCTTCTCATGCTGCTCTTTATTTCTGTCAAGTCATATTGAGATGGATTTTGTATTCATTCAAAATATCCAATAAATTTGGATTTTAATTAGGAATGAAAACAAAACCGATAGATTCTATTGGACAAATTTGCAATTTTAGCGTATGATTAATTACAGTACATTCATGTGTAAGCTTTGGGATGGAAATAGAAAATGAATAATACATTCAGACACAAACAAAATACAGTGAGTCTTAACATAAAATAATTATTTACCAGGTGCTTGTCTGAGTCTACACTCAACCGAACAGAAGGTTTGCATAGGGGAAAAAAAAAAATCCAGTAAACTGGTCCGTTGTTTCAACATTTCTGATATGAAGATTGGCTCGGTCGGTTCCATAAAGGTGTCGTGTGTACTCGTCTGCAGTGCCATGAATATTTAGTGTCCGTTTCTTCATTATGATGCATGCAGTGTCGCTATGTCATCTGATTTGCTGACAGGCTCCTTTGCCAGCGTGCGTCTGAAAATATTAAAGGAGTCAAGCTGTTGGACAGTGATTCTAGCTGTGATCCCTCTTTTACTCATTCCCGCGTCCGACCAGAGGAGGAAAAAACTGCTTTGGATCTTTTTTCCGGCATCTTATTCATTGTACTTACAGATTTTATTCATTTATTTATATATTTTTTACAAAGCTTAAGGTTTACAAATGCCTTGTGTCTTATCTTTTCTGAATTTTTCTAGTCTGTGCATATATTTGAAACAGTAGTAAATACTCATCTTATTCAAGATTTTGAACTCTCAAAATTACATGCAAAGTATGACACCTAAATAGTTTTTTAGGATGGTAAAAATTGGGGTAATACAACTGTGTGTATGTCTTTGGTTCTTTTTCCGGCATCTTATTCATTGTACTCACAGATTTTATTAATTGATTTATACTTTTTTTTTTTACAAAGCTTAAGATTTACAAATGCCTTGTGTCTTATCTTTTCTGAATGTTCTTAGTCTGTGCATACATGTGAAACGGTAGTAAATCACTTCTTATTTAAGATTTTGAACTCTCAAAATTACATGCAAAGTATGACACCTAAATATATATTTAGGATGGTAAAAATTGGGGTAATACAACTGTGTGTATGTCTTTGGTTCAGGAAGTGTCATTGTGTAACTGCCAGGGGGATTATGATGTAACTTTCTGTCTTCTGGAGGAAATTGTCTTGATGCTCCTTGAGGATCTAGTTACCCTGAGGCAGACCTGAAGGCAAACATAGCCTCATCCTGCACGCCCGTGTGTGTGCCCGTGCGTGTGTGTGTGTGTTTATTCTTGGCCCTTGCTTTTTTTGATATTGGCTCCATTTGGAAAGACAAGTTTTAAAAAAACACCAAGGCTTGGACTCGACGTTTAAAAATCAATACTCACACTCTGGTAGTTCAAACCCCCAGTCACTTATGTCAGTGGATTTAAGAGCTCGATACTGAGGCATTTTTAGGTTAAAGGTTTCATTTGCTGCTCTCACTGAGAGTTCCTCTTTTTTAAAAGTTGCCCATCATCAAGCTCTAATGCGGTTCTCAGCCTCTTTACATAATTCATCACTGTCATTTGTTTATGTGTAGAACAGCAAAGGTTTGGTTTGAAAACAATCAAAAAATTGGGAACTTACCTTATTCCTGTCGATGTCAGACAAAACTAGAATTTTTCTTATCACAGTGAGTGGCATTGCTTGGCTAAAAGAGGGTTCTTGCACTATGAATAACATTTGTGGTCTCTTTTTAACATTTGTTTCAATTGAAATGACAGTTGAAGTAGTAGTGAGTATAAAATGTTAGAATTGTAAAAAAACAGAAAATGAAAAAGCTAAAAAAAAATTGAAAAAATTAAATAAAATCAATACTGTTACTGCAATAGATTGATAAAATATTATTTATCAAAACTGAATTTGTAGCTTTATAACTGTTCGGTTTCTCCCAAATAATTTTTATTAACTCATAGACCGACAGATATTAAAGATAATACATGGCTATTGACCTTTTACGTTGTTCCATGATTAGTTGTCCTGTTCTATATATAGATGTGTGTTGATTTTTATCATTAAAACTTTCTTTGCCATGTAGATATGTGGTGCTAAGCTGTTCAAGTCAGTCTTGGACATGAAAAGCAAACAATAACCATCACTAAGCAGACTTTTGTCATCAATAATTCGTGATGATGTGATGAAAATCATGTCATGAGTGTTCATTAATTAATTTGGTCTTTTTTTAAAGTGGGATCATAAGGTGGCTGGAGCCTGTTTGTTACATCCCCTGCCTCCCCAGTGGAAAGGAGGAAAGAACCTGACAACCTTAGTAAAGCGGAGTCTTCGTAAATTGAAGAAAAAACAAAACAAGGTTTATTGGTCTTCCAAAAGACAAAGAAGGCTCAACAACTGTGGTGGAGAAAGGGGCCGTTAGGTTGTGCCAAATCAAAGAAATCAGATAAACAAAACAGGGCCTAACAGTAACTTTGAAAGAAAGCAAAAGCAAAATAAACCCTGCTACTCTAAGCTAATAAATATTCATAATAATACAAGGGTGGCACCAACCTACTTCCCTAGGGTATCTAACAGAAATTCACCTGCGTGATGGAGGTGTACAGGGTACCCCGACTTACCTAGCCCACAATCTCCCACCACAAACCTCCTAAACAAGCTGGAACAATGATAATCCCGACTCCCAGTCATGCAGGTCCTGCCAGAAAAATGCCCCCCCCGGGCCTACAGGTGAGCTGTTTTTATACCGCCTGGCCACCTCCTGCCCAGTCAGGGTAAAGTCTTCCCAGCTGCCAGCTACCTGGGAAGGAAACAAAGGGGAAGGGGGGGTAGAAACACATGTAACACTGTTTGAGCTGCCAAATGACGAGCGATGGGGTACACCCTGGACAGGTTCTAAGCCCCTCGCATTTCAGCTCAGAGATGAATGAGTCAGATAAAAACATAATTTGAGATTTGAACACTCTACACAGACAGGATTCAAAGCAGGAACTCCATTATTGTGAGGCAAAGGTGCTGACCAACACACCATAGTGCACCATCAGTGCCTTTCTGTGAGTTTTGGGACTACGACACCAGCGTTATCAGGTCCTCACCTTTTCCTGTGTCAACTTAACATTGCGCTCTTTGACAAAGCTCTGGATTTAAAGGGCTAAATCTGTCTGTTAATATATGTAAATATGTACAGTTTATGTAAATGTTCGACGAACAACTTCTTTAAAACATTCAGCATTCACAGAGCTAGTCGCTTCGTACTCCAAATGAAACTTGGATAACATAAACAACTTTTAATACTTTTTTTTCTATTTCTAGCTCCGAGGTGGAGCAAAGGAAACAGAGTATTTAGCTTCCTAGCTCTTCTCAGCTCAACTGACAAATGGTTCTACGGGAAGCCGTTATAAACGCATGTCAAAATAAAAGTACCAAATCGTAACTGTCACAGTAAAAGTACTGCAATATCAAATACTTATAAATCATGTTTTTTTAACAATATCAACCCATCATTCATGAATTGCAAATCAAAATTATCACTATTTATTATCCCATTTCACTATTTGTTTTTTAACCAACTCTTTATTTGACCTTTTCAATATGTATTTGTCAACTGGGTTACATGTCCGTTGGACCGTGTCACTTAACCTGTGCCCGATTCTATTCCAGGTCAATTAAAAAACCTTCTGAAAGTTACCAAGTTACCTCGAGATTTTGTGTGTAAAGATGACCAGAGACTGAAACAAAATTAGAAAATTAATGAAATCATGCATTTGGGGGAAAAAAACAAACAAACTTGTTTTCATGAAAGACATAAGATATCCTGTTAAAGCACTTTTAGATAAACTTAAATCTGGTTACAGTATTTTATGCAGGAGGAGGGGGGGTGTTGTCTTCTCCAGATGAACCCACACACCTTCTTAAGTGAATCTAACACAAACTGAACGGTGGATAGTCTTAACCCCACTAAAGCATGTTTCCTTAATGGTTCTACCTAGTCCTTTGCCCTGTAATCACATTACTCCTGCTGAATATTGCATACGTCTGCATTGATCATATTCTAATATGCAGTTTATTATCTGTAGTGCCTCTTAAACGTGTGTCTGAAGCCTGCAGCCTATCCGAGCTGTCACTTGGCAAGCGGAAGGTTTGACCCCGGACAAGTTGCAATTTCAGCTGCAATTTCATCACGGCACACGTATAGAAAAACACGCACACCCACGTGCACATCTCCAGACTATTTAGCACTACCTGAATATAGAAACAAACAAACTGAGTATAAAAATGAGAGGTTTTGGAACCAGGCATTTTCCAGCTAATCACCAAAATGTATGTCGGTATAGAACTCAACACCTCCTCACTCTTTCTTTCTCTCTCTGTTTTTCAGAACCTGGAGTGAGCAGGAACCTGCAGTTCCTCCAGCGTCCTACCAGAGTGACAGCTCAGCTGGGAACAGATGCCGTGCTAGAATGTTCCGCCTCTGGCTACCCAACTCCCAGCATCCAGTGGAGGAGAGGAGATGAAGTGATTCAGAGCTGGTATGTAATTTAATTCCGTAGCTTTAAAAGCATCAATATATTTCAAATGAAATTTCAGCTAGTATCTTATCCGTGTGACTCTATTTTTTTGCCCGTCCAATAAAATAACTATTGTGTAAAATGGTGACCATAGGAAAATAACAATATAAGAAAAACATCAAGTCCCCGACATGAATAATTCAGCATGTTATTTTATTCGCATCTGAAAAGGGGAAAATAATTCAAACAATCTCCGGGTTCTTTTCCCTTTCGCAGGAACAAGAAGTACTCTCTGCTGGCCGGCAGCAACCTGATCATCAGGAGCGTCACCGACGAGGACTCTGGCAGCTACAGCTGCACGGCCAGCAACAAGAACCACAACGTCACCGCCCAGGCAGAGCTCAGCGTACTCAGTAAGGAAGAAAGTTTCCCTTTGTGCTTTCGGTATTGTTGCTGTTTATGTTTATGTTTATGCATTTGGCAGACGCTTTTATCCAAAGCGACTTACAGAGTAGACACAATATTACATTTCTCATCACAATGACAATAAACTATATAGAACAGAAACACTGATCAGAGTCAGTGGTGAGATAGAGATAGAGGTAGAGGGGCTACAGAAGGAGCTGTGGGGGGCTGTTATGTTGGGGACTTTAAAGTAGGGGCCAGGGGTTCTTCATAGAACTTTCTATTTGATAGTTTTTTGGTCTGGTTTTGATTATTGGAATGCTTTGGTCAAAATGCCACAGTAAAATATAAAGATTCTTCCCTTTAAAACTATGTGTATAAAATGCTGAACATAATAGAAATTCATAACAA